ACTATGCAAACTGGAGGTTGGTTTCATCATAAACAGTAAGATAATTCACCCATCATTTCATGTCATGTAGCTTCAGCTGGAGCGATAGACAGCGGTAGGGCGTTTGCCTTGCACGCAGCCAGCCCAGCCAAGCCAGGTTCAATTCCTCCACCTCTCTCGGAGAGCCCGAGAGTGTCTCGCTCGCACGGCAAAGCCTGGCAACCTACCCATGACGTATTCAATATGCCAAATACAGTAACAACAAGTCTCAAAATGGAGACGTTACTGGGCCCGCTCGAGGAAATCGATGAACAATAGGAGGACAGTATTTGACAGTGTCAGCTTCTTGGGGGTGTGGGGGCAGGGAGGCAGTGCCTGGGGGGTCACTACCAGCAGTGTTTGGGGGGACCTGAAGTGCCACTGATTGAACAGGGTTGCCGGGGCCATAGCAGGGAGTGGGAGAGAGGGACCACCCCAGTGCAATCTGTGTGTCTCCTGGGGCACATCGTTTGCCCATGATCTGCTGATGCAAGAGCACTGGCTCTGGGTTCCTGGCTTTCTACAAAGGCTCCAAATCCAAACTCTTATGGCCCAAGGTTGTCCCAGGAAGCAAGTGGCAATGGCTCTAACCGTGGCCCAGTTCTTCCGGACTGGGTTCTAGAAGAATCCCTGCTCCCTAAATTCAGCCCCTCTCGCCATGCTTTGTTTCTTCGCTCAGTCTCTGCCCCGGCTCTGGTTTGAGTCGTCTTGTCCTCGTCACCCAAGACCCAAGACTCATTTGTGGAATAGGCAGAGAGTGAAGATGGAAGACAGCATGTAGCAAGGGGAGCTGGTATCACAGGCTTCGAGCAGGGAGATGGGTACCCCAACCCCTCTGCTTTTGCATGTTCTGAGTCTTAAGAATGAGATGAAGTGGGCGGAAACTGTTAGGGTGGGCGGGGACTCCCGTAAAGGGCGGAGATTCTTAAGGTGGGCGGAGACTCCTGAAGTGGACTCCTGCAAAGAGTGGAGACTATTTTTTTTATTTAATTTTTATTAGTGAAACACCATGAGTACAGTTGTAGACTTACAAATGATCAAATACCCATCCCTCCCCCAGTGCCCATTTTCCACTACCACGGATCCCAGTATCCCTCCCACCCCCCCCACCCCTCCATCCCACCCTGCCTCTGGGGCAGGGCATTCCCTTTTGTTCTCTCTCTCCTTTTGGGTGTTGTGATTTGCAAAAGAGGCATTAAGTGGCAGTCATGTTGGGTCTATAGTCCACTTTCAGCATGCTTCTCCCATCCTAGGAGGATCCAACAAAAGAGTGGAGACTCTTAAGGTGGGTGGAAACTGCCGCAGTGGACCAAGACTCTTAGGGTGGGCAGATACTCCCAGGATGGGCGGAGACTCTTAAGGTGAGCAAAGGGTTGGAGACTCCTGCAAAGGGCGGAGACTTTTTTTTTTAAAGGTGTGCTTTTTTTATTTATTTATTTTTGCTTTTTGGGTCACGCCCGGCGATGCTCAAGGGTTACTTCTGGCTCTGCACTCAGGAATTACCCCTGGCGGTGCTCAGGGAACCATATGGGATGCTGGGAATCGAACCTGGGTCCACCACGTGCAAGGCAAACACCCTATCCGCTGTGCTATCACTCCAGCCCCAGGGTGGAGACTCTTAAGGTGGGCGGAGACTCCACAATGAACAGACACTCCCGAGGTGAGCAGAGACTCCTGGGATGCGCAGAAACTCTTAAGGTGGGCAGAGACTCCTGTGCTTATAGGATGGGCCATCAGAGCTGAATGGGAACTCTGAGCTAAGCACCCACCCCAGCGGTCCCCTCCCCCTTTACCAACACAGTTGCTCCCTGTGCTCCAGGCAACTCCTTTCTCCTGTGCTGGGGAGCAGTGGTCTTGGCCTCCCTTGCCAGTCTCACCCCTTCCTAGACCGTAAGCGGGCATTATTTCCCAGGAAATGCCAGGCTGCCCGGCACCCCAGGCTCTTTATCCTTGAGCCCTCTTGCATCTCTTCCCACAGGCCAGGAAGACAGACTCAGACCGGAGAAAATAGCTGATCCCAAATAAGGAAAAAAAAAAGAGCAAACAAAAGCCTATTTCAGATACCATCACCCCAAACAAGAGAAGGTGGCTTGTACCCCCGATATAATTCTCACTTATTTTCTTTACCGTTCCATCCAACAGCAGAAAATATGCCCCAACTTGAGTTTGCTGCCTTGCTTCCCTAGGCAGACAGAGCTCTCGCTCTCTCTCCCCTGCCTCCCAGCCGGGCGTGTGTCTCTTGCTCCCTTGCCTCAACTCCTGTCACTTCTGCCCGATGTCTGAGCAGGGATGGGAACAAGCTCTTCCCCGGACCCTCTTCCCCACCTGCCCCAGCCATGTCTCCTGAACCTTCTCCTGGGAGAGACGCCATAGAAGGGGGCCATGTCTGAGGAACTGGAAAGCAGTTCACCCAACCAGAAATGCCCACAAGGCATTCCAGAAGGTCTGTTTGTGGTTTCACCTTGTACTTCCCCCCACCCACCCACCCCCCGCCCATACTGGGCTGGAGCACAGTGGGTAGGGCGTTTGCCTTGCATGTGGCCTACCCAGGTTCAATTCCTCCATCCCTCTCAGAGAGCCCGGCAAGCTACCAAGAGTATCCCGCCCGCACAGCAGAGCCTGGCAAGCTCCCTGTGGCATATTCAATATGCCAAAAACAGTTATAAGTCTCACAATGGAGACGTTACTGATGCCTGCTCGGCAAATCGATGAACAACAGGAGGACAGGGCTACAGTGCTACTGGTCTGGCGGTCTAGCCTAGTCTCGGAACAACAAGGATTGAGCTTTCAAAGAATAAGGTGGCTTTGGCAAGAGTTTTCATAAGGAAGGGGGCATTGGAGAGGTCATCCTCTGGGTCTGCAGGGACTACCCCCATACACACACACACACACACACACACACACACACACATACATACACACACACATTTCCTTCTAGCCACAAGCAAGATTAGTCTAGGATAAAACTATATTTCCATGTTTAAGTCTTACTGAGGGAGACCTGGATTCAATCCATTTCCCTCAGCACAACAAGAAAAAAAAAATCTGAGTTTAGACAGAGCCTTCGTGGCATGGGCCGGACCTGTCCACCCAACATCTGTCATTAAACATAGAAAAATCCAATAGGCACTGGCTCTTGAAAAAAAAATCATTTTGAAATAGCGAATTCCTTAGCTCCCTCCACCAGGTAATTGCAAATCAGAAACTCTCGTTATCTCGAAGTCACCACAATTAGTTCTCATTTCCTGACCTCTGCACAGTAAAAAATATGTCATCATTCCAGGCTATAGACTCTGGTCTCGGCAAGGAAGTGACCTACATCTAACAGATAAACGAAAGGAGAAAAAGGAGGCGTTGCCTTGACAGAAAGCGCACAGTAAATGTCGCATTGGCTTATTAGTATTTCTCATCTACTCCTAATAACCCAGTTGGGCCCAGCGCTTGAGAGCAACGTATACAAAGACAACAGGGCCCCGTGGTGGAGATGCGTGTTCAGGAAGAGACACAGAGAAAATTCGCCTCTTTCGCCTGCGTTGTTGTTGTCGGTCTGAGCTGAATTGTTTGAAGATCAGTTTTTAACCTTAATCGAATCAGCCTGCCCCTGAGTGGTGGCGGGCAGGAGAATTAATTGCTGTGTGAACAATCTCCTAAGCATTGTTAATTGCATTTCCTGTGGCTAATTGTTTCTCCCCCCACCCCCATCAGCCTGGCGATCACCCTCTGTCAGGGGTCCTTTCCTTCATACTCAGAACTGGAACCTTCCCCATGAAAAAAAGCATCAGCTTGTGTCCAGTTGAATTTGGACCGAAGTCTGCAGTGCAAGAGCTTCTTATTTATTTGCAAATGAAGCATTTCTTTGCTCCGGGCTTTGAAGGGAGCCAGGCTGGAAGGTTGGAATCTGCCTTTCCATTTCCTACAGGGGAGACAAGTCACTCAGAGAACCCTCATTGGAAGAGGGCGGTGAATTGAGTTTGCTAAACTAATTGGAAAGTGGGTGGGCGGAGGTCTCAGTTGGTCCAGAGTGACAAGGAGAAGCAAAAGGAAGATTTTGTCTGGAGGTACGGGGTCACACAGAAGGAAAACTTGGAGCCCACGGTTAGGCACGTTGCTTTGGATCTACAGAGCTCGTGTGTGTGTGTGTGTGTGTGTGTGTGTGTGTGTGTGTGTGTACACCTGTGAAAGAGAGAAAATTATCCTGCTCCCAGGGGAGGACCTCATCCTGCACCCCACCCCCGTTCTTGCAGCTTTTGTTCACAATGGTGTCCACTTAGTCATCATGGAGCAGCGGGGAAACTGATGCCAAGTTTGACATCCACAGGGAGCTGGGCTTGACCTTGACGCCTGGACAGCTGTGGTTCTTGCAGAGCAGGGCGGGGTCCAGCAGACCTCTCCCATGTGTGTTGCCTGGCTCTGATACAGACTCACTGGGGTAGGGGGGTGTGGGGGATGGGTGGGCTCTGTGACCCTTAAGAAGGGACCATGGGGCTGGAGCGATAGCACAGCGGATAGGGCGTTTGCCTTGCACGCGGCTGACCGGGGTTCGATTCCCAGCATCCCATAGGGTCTCCTGAGCACCGCCAGGAGTGATTCCTGAGTGCAGAGCCAGCAGTAACCCCTGAGCATCACCGGCTGTGCAGAGTCTGGGACAGACTAGGTAGTCTGGAGCGGAGAGAGGAAGTGATGTTATCTCCTCATTCTTCTGCCCATCACAAGAATCTTCTCCCCAAGGGGACCTGGGGTAACCCCCCCTCCCCTCACCTCAGATCTATATATAGGGCTGTTTGCATCTGGACAACCCCCCCCCCCCCCCACACACACACACACACACCACCACCACCACTACCACTGCCAGGGCCCAGCCACTTTCTGAACTGGCAGCTTCTTTGAAAAAGGCAACGCCTGGACCCCTTAGCCCGCCCCTCCATGACATTTGCGTGACTGAGTTCTCAATTCATATTTTCATGGCTTTATCTCTCCCGCAGCAATGCATCTGCTCGGACTCAATTGGCAACTGCAGCCGGCAGATGGACACACCTTTAACAATGGGATAAGGACCGGCTTACCAGGCAGCGATGATGGGGCAACAATGCCATCTGGAGGCAAAGGTGGGTGAGGTTACAGCTGCCGCTGGTCCCTCTTGGGTGCGGTGTGGAGGGACGCGGGGTTTCGTAGGGAAATTCAGAGCCCTGGCCAAGCTGGTTTAGGTTTCCAAGTGCAAATATCTCTCCTCTCTCCCCCCTCCCCCCTGCCCCCTCTCTTTTTCACTCTCTCCCCTCTCTCAAGGTACTGGCCAGCCTAAGGGAAAGAAGAGTTGGTGAGCTTGGTCACTCTGGTTAGGTGTCCTAGTTGGGAACTGTTGGCTGTTCCTGTGTGGTTGTCACTGTGTTGGACTGGAGTCAGGTTCTTCCCCAATGTCCTGTCACTCTGGCCCCTCAAGGGTTCCCTTGAGTGGAAACAGTCCCCTATCCTGGAAGGGAGAGTGTGACCCCAAGACTGTCTCCTATGTGCTCACACGTTCTGAAGGTACACATCATTTTCCAGCCGCACCCCATGTGATGAGCCTGTCACCGCTGGGGACAGCCTTGGCAAATCCTGGCAGTGCCAGTAGGCACAAGGGCCAGGAAGATTGCCCCATGGTTGGCAGCCTGCCTCATGAGCGGGGGGAGAAGGCAGCTGGGATAGAGAAGGGATCGCTAAGTCAATGAGGGTTGGAGGGATTGCTCAGGATGGGAGATGTGTGCGGAAAGTAGATAAAGGACCAAAAGTGATAACCTCTCAGTGTCTGTATTGCAAACCATAATGCCCCAAAGTAGAGAGAGAATATGGGGGAAATTGTCCGCCATAGAGTCTGGGGTAGGGTTGGAAAGGGGAGCTATACTGGGAATTTTGGTAGTGGAGAATGTGCATTGGTGGAGGGATTGGGTGTTTGATCATTGTATGACTGAAAACTCAAAATGAAAGCTTTGTGACTGCATCTCACGGTGATTCAATTAGAAAAAAAAAATTCCTGGCAGCACATTTCTCCTGCGGGCAGGGTGAATCTGTGTTTCCAGCCTCCAGCTTCCTGAGTTTCCCTCAAGACAATTCCCCGAGCCCCAGAAAACAAGCCCTAATGCACGCAGCCATCGCTCGAGCCACAGAGAATCATTTTCCATGGTGTCTACGGGCAGGACCAGCTGTTTCCCCTCGAAGACAGCATCCCCTGGGCAAGACCGTGCTGGCCCCTAGAACACTAGTTCAGCTGTTTTCCCCCGGGAGTTAGGAGATGGAAAGAAAACAGTTGCCTGGTCCCTGTCCAGTGAATCTTGTCAGCAGAACACTTACAGGCTTTTTTGTTTTGTTTTGTTTTGTTTTTGCTTTTTTGGGTCACACCCAGCGATGCTCAGGGGTTACTCCTGGCAGTGCTCAGGGGACCATATGGGGGATCAAACCTGGGCCGACCGTGTGCAAGGCAAATGCCCCTACCCACTATGCTATCGCTCCAGCCAGAACCCTTACAAGTTTAAGACAGCTGAAGGCGCAGCCCAGCTACTGCGTTCTACCCCTCTGCATGCCAAAACTGGGACAGGAGATACTAAATCTCTTCTGAGGTTGCCATAGCAGGTGTGCCATTGTGACCTGAACATTTATGGATTCCTCCCATGGGTCTGCCTCGCTTAGAGATGATGACAACCTGGCATCTTTGACCTCCTTTGCCCACTGACGCCCCCCCACCCACACACACACACATACTCCCCATGGGATACATTTAGATAACCCCGATCCATTCCCATAGACTCACTTGGCCAGTGTTTCCAAGAGACAATCAAGATATATTGGCAATAAGTTAATTAAATAACACCCCCTCCGTTATTATTATTTTTTTGTGATGGTGGTATGCAATAATCCTTCACTTCAGTAATGTTTTAATCAAGATACACCACACCACACTGCCAGGGAGGTTAATCCTTTTAAGCAATTACTGGGTAAGTATCCTGCAGAAGCAAATTAAAATGTAAGCAAAACACGGGCCTGGGAGCCCCATCGAAGTTCCGGGAAGATGGCACGTCGATCGAGATTTCATTACCTGGTCTTTAAGAGTGTTTACATTCCTCCAATCTGGAAGGGAGTCAGAGAGACAGGGCAGCCTACACACTCGGATGTGTGAGTGGGAAACAGCGCTTTTGATTAATTAGCCAGGAGGAGAGTTCCTGGGCCTTCGTCTTCCCTTTTCCATTTGCTATTGGCCGCGGTGTATTTTTTTTTCTCGTTGCTGTTCTCCATCTTCTCTTCCAATTAAACCTTCCCAGGCCGAGTGGCTGGGTTTCACCTCCAGGAAAGGCAGCCTGTGCCAGAAGCACTCACCGTCTCGCGTGGATTTCTCTGTTAAAAGGAATAAACTCATACATCTTCATTACGGGAGTACCGGGCCCTCTTTTCTCTGGATCTGGGCTAAGCCTGGAGAAGAGGAGATTCAATACGGTGTTTTGACCTGGTCAGATCACGTAAGGGAATCTGGCGTGATGGGGCTGGGCCCAGAGGCAGAGGACACGGGAGCTTTTAAAGGACACATCAGAGGGAGCCAATTTTGTCCACCCTTATTAAGAAAGCACCGGCATCCCAAAAAGAATTGTGTGGAGCATCTCAAAAAAAAAAATGCTCATTGAGAGAGTCAAGGCATCCACCAAGCTTCTGGATCCAATCTGGCCAGCCGCCTGTTCCTGCAAATGCAGTTCCATTGGAATTTGTGTCCGTTCAGGCTCTGTGGCTGCCTTCCCAATAGCCCACTGCAGTCTGCCATTGAAGAGATGCAAGGGGAGACTCGAGCCTGAAAATATTGACTATGTGGCTCTTGGGGACGAGTTGGGGCGGGGGGAGTTTGCCAGTCACTCCTGATCATTTGCAAAGACATTTCTAACTTCAGGGTCCTTCTCTGCAACTACCCAGAGAAGAGGAAATGAAGGAGAGAACCCAAACTCTCCCACATCTCCATTTCCCTTCCCCACCCGGAGTTGGCCGAAATATATTCTTCATGGCTTTGCATTGACAGATTCTCTAGAGTGGGGGGTACTGGAGCTGCTCCTCTGTCCCCCCCCTACCCCGTTCCCCATGTGCTTATGTGACTGACGTCTAATCTGCAGTAGATCCCGCTATGCAAAGGTGCTGTGTTCTCATGGATGTTATTTTATTTTAAGGATCCTTGAACATTTACTGTCACTCACGTCATGATGTCCTCTCTTCCTTCCTCCGTCCTGTTGGCAAGTCTCTGTGGCAGTTGCTTGAGCGAGAGGCAAGGTCTTCTCCAAGGGTGATGCCTTAGAACTTCCGGAGAACCGCCAGAGCCACTTCCTCTTTTTTTTTTGCTTTTTTGGTCACACCCGGTGATGATGCTCAGGGGTTATTCCTGGCTCATGCACTCAGGAATGACTCCTGGTGGTGCTCGGGGAACCCTATAGGATGCTGGGAATTGAACCCGGGTCGGCTGCATGCAAGGCAAATGCCCTCCCGCCTGTGCTATCGCTCCAGCCCCATAGAGCCGCTTCTTCTTTCCCTTCTACTCCCAGAACCTCTCCAAAAGCATCTTCCCACACGCTTACTCACTCTCCAGGGCGGGTGCGAAGCCCGCCTCCCCAATCAATCAGGGACAGAGGCTAAACGCACAAAGCCAAGCTGGCCGCCCCTCGGACATTATTTGTCTTCCTGCAGCTTGAGTTTCACCGCTGCCAGCCTGTCTGTTTTAAATTCCACCATTCTCAGTTTATAACTCAGCTGTAAACATTTTATTTGTGCCTGGAGCACATTTCTTTTTCCTCCCCTTTTGAAAAAAAAAAAACACAAAAAACAAAAAAAAATAAAATCAGAATTTCCAGATGGTACGCAAGTTGGGGGAAAAAAATGGCAAAGCCTGTGCTTCTGTTTAGAAACATGTTTTTCTACACTTGCCCTTTCAGCAGAAACTTCATAATGATTTTGACTAGTTGGCTTAATGCACGGCGCCAGAAGCCAGCCTCGCAGGGAGGTTCGTAATTCTTCCTCTGGCTCCCATCAGCCTCCCGGTGCTCGCCGCCCGGAGTTTGGAAATGATCGCTTCCCAACAGGGAGCATCGCTCAGAGCCGATGAGGTTGCCAGAATGGCCAAGGGTCATGATGTTGGCGCCCATCACTGCAGTCTGACATTCTCCTGGAAGCTCATCCTATAGCCTCTTGGGATGTCTCACTTGCCCATGATTTGAGATGGGCACCGTTGTGGGTGTGCTAAGCTGGTGGATTTCAGCATGGGTGCCCCCTGCAGCCATGTCTTGACATACAGTGTTTGGGGGGCAACAGCTTCAAGGTGGCTAGATGGGCTTGTATTCCGAGACTACTGTGTGTGTGTGCGTGTGTGTTCACATGCAAAGGTTCACATGCACTCCATCATAACTGTTTATCACACGTCTAGAGATGGATCTCGGTGCTCTGCTTAGAAACACCCCTTTTGTGGCATCTACCCAGTGTCCCCATTGCTGTTGGTGCTGTGTGTGTGTGTGTTGTCATACCCACCCACCTTTGCTTGCATGCACTCATGTCTTTGTCATAACTGACTCGCACACCTAGAGATGGATCTCAGTGCTCTGCTTAGAAACACTGCTTTTGGTATCTTTCCTCCTTGGCAGAGGGCCTGACATGCAGTTGGCATAGCAGGTAGCTAGGTGGGTTCTGAGTCCCAGATCCACCACTTGTGAGCATTTGGTGATCACCAGATCCTTCTGATTTCTGATGAGTGGGGGTGACCTCTGAACAATGGGAAAACTCATGAAGGTGGACAGGTCGGATAGGTAGTAGAGCAGGCAGGGCGTTTGCCTTGCATGCACCTGACCTGGGTTTGATCCCTGGCACCCCCGGTGGTCCCCTGAGCATCGCCAGGAGTGATTCCTGAGCACAGAACCAGTAGTGAGTCCTGAAGGTCATGGGGTGTGACCTCCCAATTTATAAAAGAGAGAGAGAAGGTTTCAGGAGAGAGTTAGCCTCTGAATCCATTCCGGTTGTTGTAGTGATGCTAATATACTGGACAGTATGTTCACGTAGAAGCGAATTCACCTGAACAGTCAACTGTACAAATATCCGGGCTGGAGTGATAGCACAGCGG